CTATACTTTGACGCTATAAATAATTTTGAGTAAACCAGAAGTAACTTCCTATCAATTATTTAGAAATCTTGATGTGGAAAGACCTTTTGGTTTTTAATTCATATAAGGGTTTATTTGACGATCATGAAAAACAATCAACACCATGACGTATGAAAACAATCAACATCATGGCGTATGAAAAACAATCAACATCATGGCATATGAAAAACAATCAACACCATGGCGTATAAAATAAGCAAAATAAATGTTAGACAGCAGTCCATAAAAAAAATAAAGATTGAGCAAAACGAACTCAATCACAAACAAGCATAGTGGTATCTACTCTTAAAGAGTATTTATATTTTATATTTTACGTAGCAAAAATAATCTGCAAAAGTGTTTGTCCTTGACAAGATGCATTTTAATTCAGTGAAGGTTCTTAATTAACCTGCATACGTAAACACACATGCATGTTAATTGCATTAATTTACGATAATTTAACACATTAAGATGCTGGTACTTCTCCATCAAAGCTGCGAAGGTAAGATGTGGTATATAATGTGGGGTAATTTTTGTCTTTTATTTTATGCATGATGGTATGATGTTTTAATCACTGCTCCACATTAGGGGACAAAGCTGTCTACTCGTGATTAAAACACATGAAATAACATTCAAAGTGTTAGAATATTGCCATATTTCAGACATTAAATGCAGGATATATTTTATAGTAGCAGTATGTGTCCTCAATATATCATAACATATGTAATCTTAGAACAGAGTACATTGAATCCATTACACATACTATGCTTTTGCAAAACATTACCAAAAATACAGCAACATTGTATTACTTTAGTGTTTACATGTATCGCACACAGTAGGATGGGCAAGAGGACTTTTTGCACAAAATGTTTGCCAACCAGTTAGCAAAATGGTGACAGTTCCTTCCTCCTAAGCTATATCCCTTTGTTTGTCCGAAATATTTGGCGCATCCCTTGACACATTCTGTACTGAGTACTCCATATCCTGCTGCGTACGATTCAGTGCCAGCTCTACAATTAGATCGATATGGCGAGGAACCGTATTCTGTTCCCCAAGGCATGAATTCATAGTAAACGCCACGATATTTTATATATCGGTGGGCTAGTCTACCAGTTGCTCTGCTCGGAGACCTCTTTCTTTTTCCTTTAACACAAGAAAGGTTTTGTGTTCCAAATTGGAAACCGTATCCTGCAGAACTACCTAGAAACAACATATTCCAGTTTATAATCATGGTTATGATGAGTATTTATTTCTGCCTGTATTCTGACTGTCATTTATTTTTCAATTTTAGTTTGTATTGTAATATTTTCCGTTGATTTAGCGTATCTATAAAACAATTGTCTCAAACAACTATCACGTACCAAAGAAAATATACAAAGAGAATTTTAAAATCCTGTGATTGACAAACATATGTTTCAATACCAGTACCATTACATGCATATGTAAGATGTTACAATATCTTTCCAATAAATGTTTTTGACGTTCCCTTGTCACCATCTTACGGTGTTTATATATCTCAACTTGTACGATTCGCTCGTGTATGTAACAATGTTTTAGATTTTAACGAGAGAAATTTATGTATTACTGAAAAATTATTACACCAGGGTTTTCGATATCACAAACTAGTCAAAACATTTACTAAATTTTATCATCGGTATAAGGACATCATTCGTAAATATAGCTCAACATGCAGACTTCTTATACGTTCAGGTATTTCACATCCAATTTTTTATGGAAATATTCTTTATAAAGCACAAAAATGTCAGTATTCACCTCTGAAGCTAACAAAACCTTTAAATAGACTTATTAAGAAGGGATATAGTTACGATACTGTTGTCAGGTCATTAAAGATTGCATATTTTGGCGTTAATATCGATTCACTTATAGGGTCTTTGCATCGGCACTAAACACATTTATTTAAAAACCAAGTGGCATGACACGGGTTATGTTCTTCTCATATATGTTATGATGGTATGATACTAAACCCCTAACGGGAAGGATTGTGCCTGATATTCATATGATGAAGACATAATCTTTCAATCAGTTAAATTGAAGTCTGGAGCTGGCATGTCAGTTAACTGCTAATAGTCTGTTGTTATTTATGTATTATTGTCATTTTGTTTATTTTCTTTTGTTACATCTTCTGACATCAGACTCGGACTTCTCTTGAACTGAATTTTAATGTGCGTATTGTTATGCGTTTACTTTTCTACATTGGCTAGAGGTATAGGGGAAGGGTTGAGATCTCATAAACATGTTTAACCCCGCCGCATTTTTGCGCCTGTCCCAAGTCAGGAGCCTCTAGCCTTTGTTAGTCTTGTATTATTTCTAATTTTAGTTTCTTGTGTACAATTCGGAGTTTAGTATGGCGTTCATTATCACTGAACTAGTATATATATTTGTTTAGGGGCCAGCTAAAGGACGCCTCCGGGTGCGGGAATTTCTCGCTACATTGAAGACCTGTTGGTGACCTTCTGCTGTTGTCTGTTCTATGGTCGGGTTGTTGTCTCTTTGACACATTCCCCATTTCCATTCTCAATTTTATTTTGACGCTACATACTAATTGATACATATCCCTTTACGACAAAAGGAAAAATTGTCTCAATCTTGACCCAACGTTGCTGCAGATCAAACGACCTCCCATTCTTGAGAATGTGTTTTAGCTAGTCGGTTGTAGAATTGTCTCTTGCTACATTTTGCTTTAAGTAATAATTTGTAAATATACAAGACATTTCATGATATGTGTAGTTGATGAAACTATTGGTTTAAAATAAATATACATTTCAGTATATCAAAAAGGTTAGGTGACAAAGTTTGTTCAGGCTCGTTTTCATGAACAACTTCTATGAATTGTTTAATTATTTATAGTTTCCGAAAATTGTATTTTAGATCATCTTCTTACCGAAACAATCCTCTCTTTTCCGTCCGCAGCCACACGATTGTTCAAAATAAACAAAGGAAAGTATCAAAAACAGCTGTAACAAAAAATATATTTAATAATTATTAATTATATAACATATTAAAATACGGAGATGAGTTAGATTACCAATGAGAAAACAATCCACCAACCAAACATAATGTGGTTGTAAGCAATTATAGGTAACCTTACGGCCTTCAACAATGAGGGAAACCCATACCGTATAGTCGGCTATGAAAGGCCCCAACATGAAAAATATGAAACAATTCAATTGAGAAAACTAACGGCCTAATTAATAACAAAACAATTAACGAAAAACAAATATGACAGACATGAACCAACGACAACCACTGAACTACAGGCTCCTGACTGGGGATAGGCACATACAGAATGTGGCGGGGTTTAACATGTTTGTGAGCGTTCAACCCTCCCCTTAACCTGGGAAAGAGGTGTAACGGCACAACATAATAACAAACTATAAAAATCAGTTGAAAAAGGCTTAACTCATCAGATCGATACAAAGAAGAAAAACATCCAACATAAAAACAGACCGGACGTTGCAGGATATTTATCTATTCCTCATCCCTAACAACGAAAAGGACACTAAGTACAGATCTGAGGGTACTTGCTGTTACTGACCGCTTGTTCAAAGCCAATAATAACTAATAAAAAAATCTAAGACTAAATTATAAATCAGTACACATCCAATATCCAATGGATTGAGTGTAAGGACGTCATTAACAGTCAGAGAAAAACATGACATTGTGCAATGCCAAAATAAAGGTATCGACAGACTGTAGTACCGTTAAAGTGCATATGTGTATAACAAAACTATTTAGTATGATTTTAATTTACTGATAACAAAATCAATATGTATACCAATAAAACTATAATCAAAGATCTAATTACAGTGTTGAATTGGTAACCTTTCATAATTAGTTTATTTAAAGGATTGATAAGTTTACCCATATCGTATATAAATTTCCGGATATGTATGTTTCATTAGAAACCGTTATTTGGATTAGCTGACAAACATCTCGAGGTACTCTAATATAAAGTTGAGTTTCCGAGTGCAAAAGACATTTTTGAATGATTCTAACAAAATTTAGACAGTAATATAAAGTATGAATAGAAAACCCAAATCAAAGATTAAAATGCTTTCAAATACACATGTACATGTATCCAAGAATTTTCTGCTATGGTAACTATAAATATAAGCTAGCTAAAACTTGTTCTTCAGAGCAAACATTTATAAAAACATGTCAATCTGTAAAAGTTTTACCAAATGAGTATAAAAGTCGTGCTTAAGGGCAAATAACAGTTATATTTGATCTTTTTGTTAAAATGTATCAAAGATCTAATTTCTCTTCCTTTTTAGTTAGATGTATGTTCCTCTGTCTTAGAGTTTTTGTGTTTTGTTGAACGTCGATTGTATGTTCATCTTTTGTTCCTTGAGCATAGTGTTACTGTTTTAAAGTTTTTAATATTGTCTTTGTAGGAAAAAATATACACAGGAAGATTAGTCACTCCTCTTCAATCATTTTGTTTACATTTTTGACAAGCTACTACTAATTATATATAAGAAGTTAGATAGTATTTCATGCAAAAGAACAGCTTTAAATCAACTTGCCTAAGGGAGTTTAGAATAGGTCAAACGTGTTGTCATATCGAATATAATAAGTTATTTGACACTGCTATCTTATTCACATACAATGCATATTAAATGTTTAATCCATATATGCTATTCATCAGGTTTACAAACGCAAAAAACTGTAAACTGACGAAGACAATAATTCGATTATCATATAACAGAAGTAGATTGTTTGTTTCAGACTGTTACTCTCATATAACGATAAAACGAGTTTCCGTTGTTTTAGATGTTCAGCAAATGTTCAATATGAAATGAACCTCTTCAAAATATGTAATATTTTAAGTCATAACTGTATATTAATTTGTCCGTAACATTCGATAACAGATTTGACTTTCTCAGAAAATTATCCAGGAATGACAAAAACGTTTATAGAATACAACACAATCAAATTTCTTACCGCAAATCCAAAAGGCTTCATGATGTAATTTCTCTCTTATATGATTGGTAATCAGAATGAATATTCTCTAAAATTAAATGTGTTTACAGTCTATATGTATGAATTAACACAAGTGCTTGACATGCGTAATGCATGTTTTAAAACTATGTATAGTAAAATAGGAAATTCATAAATATTTAGCATCAAACAGAAGTTATATTTTAATGATAATTATTTAAGGCATGAGTTTCGGTAAGGATTTTGTTCGTTGTTGAAGGCCTCACGGTGACTAATAGTTACTTACCTTCTTCGTCGTTTGGTCTCTAGTGCAGGGCTTTTTCATCAGCAATCATACCACATCTTCTTATTTTAAAAGAAAAGGTAAAAACCCATACCGCATACCAAGCTATAAAAGGCCATGATCTAACTACTAACGTACAACAGTTCAACCGAGAAAACTAATGGCCTGATTTATGTACAAAATAAACATCGATAAACAAATACGATAAACAGTAACAACCAGCAACTACTGAATTACAGATCCCGGACGTGGGACAGGCACCTACATAAAGTGGCGCGGTTAGTTATGTTTGTGGGTGCAAAATCCTCCCATAACATGTTTTTGTCCTAAGAATGAATGTAATTTTGACAATGGTAGCCTTTGCTTCCATATCATGAACTTAAGTATGTATAATGGCTTGTTTCGAAGCTGAGACATTTTCACACATGTGGTTAAATATTCGGAATAAAAAGTTATATTAGATTTTTCACAAATTGGGCAACCCCGAAAATGCCGCTGTGGTAGATGAAACATTATTTTTCACACAGTTAAATTCTCTGAAAATTCAGTTCGGTACAAACATTTAATAACTCCACAGTTTTGACATCTTTATTGTTCAGTCTTCTGCTCTTTAAAAATGCACAAACATTTAAGTTCAGTCAATTACTAAAAATAGCATCATGTTCATTTCATTGCATACAGGTTTTTAGTATTATTTATAGTTTGAGTACCTTACTTTGAGGCGCATTAGAGATATTGACTGATTTGCTGCTTTACGTTTTCCATGAGTCATCCAAATTGAGGATGAATTCGATCAGCAACTCACTAGTAAACACTCATAGGCATTTAATCTGCATAATGTATATAACGATAACATAAAAGGTCAAGACAATACGTCGTGTGAATCTTATAGTGTTATGTATCCCCGTTTGATAAAAATGGAAATAGCTATATATTTGAGATTCAATTGTAATGGTCTATATCCCTTTACAACTATAATACAAGATTACTACACTCTAAGAGTTTTTGTCAGAACTACACTATTCTATCTCCACATTCCTGTTGGATGATAATGGCTATACTGTTGTATCTCCACTATTTCTCATGAATTTTTCCTGTTAAATAATTCTTATAAAAATTATCTTAGTAGTGCTATGAATAAAAGATTTGCATAGTTTGAACTCAATCTATGAGCAACTCTTAGCAAATCCAGCAGTACAGAATTGGAATATTTCGAAGTTAAATATCCATGGTCTATCGAAATATCTCCAATGGACATATAGGGATACATTTCAAATTAAATTGGGAATGGAAATGGGGAATGTGTTAAAGAGACAACAACCCGACCAAAGAGCAGAAAACAGCCGAAGGCAACCAATGGGTCTTCAACACAGCGAGAAAAATCCCGCACCCGGAGGCGGGCTTCAGCTAGCTCCTAAACAAAAATGTGTACTAGTTCAATGAAAATGGACGTCATACTATACTCCAAAACATATAAATGAACAAAAATAAAAAAAACAAACATACAAGACTGACAAAGGCCATAGGATCCCGACTTGGGACAGGCGCAAAAATGCGGCGGGGTTAAATATGTTTTGTAAGATCTCAACCCTCTCCCTATACCTCTAGCCAATGTAGAATAAACAAACCCACAAAGACTACATTGTTTGAAGTAGAATTTTCTATCTCCAAAAAAAGGGATACTATATCTATCTAAGTTGTTTGTCTATTAAAAAACAATCGAACACTTATGAATTAAAGAATTACTCTTCGTGTACGTAAATTGGATTCCTATGTTACTTTTTTATGTCTCAGTCAAAAATTAATGATATTTAGCTTTTAAACTAAGATAAAATAATTTTTATCACTATAACCAAATGGTAAATACATCATTATAAGATTCACACGAAGAAATTTGTTATAACAGTTATATTTCGATAGGACGGACGAATTAACTTTGGTTACACTGTAACTCCCGGCTAGTGAGTGTTGTGACCATATTTTTTGCATGTATAAATATAAGGAGATGTGGTTTGATTATCAATGAGACAAATATCCACCAAAGTACAAGTGAAAAGGATGTCAGCAATTATAAGCAACCGTAAGGCCTCGACAATAAGAAATACCCATACCGTATAGTCGGTAATCAAAGACCCCGACATGAAAAATAAGAAACAAATCGATTGAGAAAACTAACAGCTTTATTTATGAGAAAGCAATTACGAAAAAGAATAATTAGAAACAACAATAAACGACAACCACTAAAGTAAAGGCTCCTGACTTGGAATGCACATAACAAATGTGGCGGGGTTAAATACGTTTGAAAGCGGCATTCCTTCAAGGTTACATGTACGGCCAAAATCTTTGCATTTATGAAATAATTTAGAAAATGTTTTAAGTAATTTGTGGTAAGGAAATACCTTACTTAATAATTTATCATTAATACATAGATTACGCTTATTGAAATCCAAAATGTCACTACAGACACGGGCATGACGAATGAGTTGTGATATAAAATCCCTGTAGGACGGTGCCAAAGAAACATCACCGTTCACAAACAGAAAAATTAACAATAGAAGAATAAAAAATCGATATATAAATAAAAACCAACTGTTCAGAGAACAATTGAAGGTCTTTCCACTTATAAAGATCTATTTTGAAATAGAACTATTAAAATCATATTCAGCGTCTAATGATAGTTTATTGTACACTGATTCCAAAAATACATGGTTTCTATACATTTTTTCAAAATAAGGAAGATAAATTGTTACTTCCGGTCTGAAAGATGTCACTTCCGGTTTTATTTGATAGTTTACTTGATATTGATTCCAAAAATATATGGTTTAATATACTTTTACATTGAATAAGTACAAAAAATAGCTACTTCCGGTTAACACAAGGTCACTTCCGGTTGGCTTTTCCATGGTCAAGTGGCTTGCAACGTAATGCAAAAAGTCCTATGGCTTTATCACGTATACATACGAGGTAAAAGCAAAGGTCAAAATCTAGAACGTCAAATTTACCTATGACCTTTAGCTCAATTTCAAGGTCATAAACCGAGGGCTTCAAATAAAAAGACCATAGGTCTTAATTATACATGGTTAATGAGTTATATCACTTTACGCCTAATTTTTAACATAAGAGGGGAGAAAACTCCAATTTAATGTTATCGTACCATTTCAACCAAAATTTATGTGTTACGACATGTCGCAACTTACAATTTAGTAAAAAATCTTGTCGATATCTTATACGGTTTTTGAAAAAAAAGGGAAAATAAGCGATAATCAAAATTTAAAATATGACCTTGACCTTGACCTTATTTTCTTATTTTTGGACCAAGGACCTCAAATCAAAAGATCCTAGGTCTCTATCACTTATGGTTTACAAGATAGAAATGCATATCACTAATAACAAACGCATAAGGGGAAATAACTCTCATATGGAGTGTTCATATCGCTTCGGTCAAAATTGGACAAATCATGCGAAGGATATAACGAGCAATTTTATAAAATAAATTTGTCGCTTTCTTTTATGGTTACAGAGGAGATGCAGTCACAAGGAAAACAGTGGTCGAGGAGATAACTCCTACAAAGAAAAGTATTCAGTTACGCAGAATGAATTTCAAAGGCGCATAAACTGTTCGATATCATATATCAAACATCTAAGCGACATCTTGCGTAACAAAATTTATACGCAAGAAATAAAAGTGGCGGAAGAAAAAAAAAAAATAATTAAAAACCAATTGTTCAAAGAACAATTGAAGGTCTTTCCACATCAATTTTCTAAATAATTGATAAGAAGCTACTTCTGGTTTACTCAAAGTTACTATTGGCGTCTAATCATAGATTTCTTCATACTGATTCAATAAATATATGGTTTCTAGATACTTTTGCCTGAAATAAGGGAGATAATTGCCAACATCCTGTTTAGAAAATGTCACTTCTGGTCTCATATGACAGCTTTATTTACACTGATTCCAAAAATATATGCTTTATATATACTTTTGCCTGTAAAAAGGGAGATAATTGGCTACTTCTGGTTAAGTAAATGTCACTTCCGGTCTCATATGATAGCTTCATTCACACTGATTCCAAAAATATATAGTTTGTATATACTTATGCCTGTAATAAGGGAGATAATACAGTCGAACCTCGTTGTGTCGAAGTCGAAGGGACCAGTCGAAAGTATTCGACTCATCCGAGGTCGAATGTGACGTCATATATTTGAAATGTATGAAATACCAATATGTGATTTCTGTAAACTAGATACGTGTTTATTGATCATTGTGCTTTTTTCGATATGATAATATATGATTGTGTATTCATGTTCCTTATTTTTTCTTTCTATGAATAAAAATGTAAACACAGTTAACGTAGTTTATTCTTTACTGAGCAAATAAATTATCAGGTAAGAAAGCTTACATTTATTTTCATAAAAGACAAAAGACAAGCACTACTAACTTTGAAAGGTAAGCACTAGCTATTCATAAATTCCATCATACTAATTAAACACACAAATACAGATTCAACACACAACATTCACAAATAAAATCAATACACAAATATTTACAAAGGTCAGTCACTATAAATTTTGGATCACTCGCGAAACGAAACAAGTCCTGAAAGATCACTGATTAGGGTCGTCTGCTTTGCGTTCAACTTTCTTTTGAGCTGTTTTCTGGTGAAATAGTTGTTGATCTTGGCGAGTAGTGGAAGCAATTCTTCTGTATCGTCCTGAGCTTCAAAGTATGACTGATATGTATCAGTCATCTCAACCATGGCAGACAAGCTCGGAACGGGTTTTTCTATCGTGATCGTATCTTCTTCGTCACTGTCTTCTTCTGTTTCTTTCATACTCGAAGTTATCTCGTTGATAATATCGTCGTCTGTTAGTGGCTCAGTGGTTGGAATATCATTGTCGATGTTGGCGTATTCTGTGAAATTAATTCCTGCAAGACGGGCTAGTGGAATATCATCGTCGTCGTCATCTTCTTCATCTTGTTGGTCACTTACTCTGGACTCAATGTCAACACTGAAACCTGCATGTCTAAAGCAGTTGCTTATTGTGGTGGCTGTGACTGAGAACCAAGCTCGTTGAAGAAATCGGAGTGCATCTAGGACAGTTAGACTGAACTCTGTTTTACTCTCGGCACATGCAATCTGTTTCATTAGGACCCTTTTGCGGTAGTGAACTTTTAAATTCTGAATGATACCTTGGTCACAGGGTTGTGTCTTACTGGTTGTATTAGGTGGCAAGAAAACCAGCTTAATATTTTTCAAGCCTTTAACGTGAGGATGAGCAGGGCAGTTGTCAACTATCATTGCTACTTTACGTTGCTGCCGTAAAAATTTCTTGTCAAGCTTTATTAACCAGTTGGTAAAGATTTCTGATGTCATCCATGCTTTTTTATTTGCCTCATACTGTGTTGGTAGCGTTTTGACATTCTTAAAGCACCTTGGGTTAACTGATTTACCAATGACTAGTATTTCGACTTTCTCGGAACCAGACATGTTTGTACACACCATAACAGTTAATCTCTCTTTACTTCGTTTACCACCACTGCAATCTACACCTTTGAACTCTAAAGTTTTTTCTGGCAACAATTTATAAAATAGCCCAGTCTCGTCAGCATTAAAAATGTTATCTGGTGTAAAGTCAGTCATTATGCCTTTCAGTTCTGTTACCCAATCGTTCATAGCTTCACTGTTAACATCAACAGATGTTGCCTCTCCACAAATTTTTTTAAATGTGATGTTGTGGCGATCTTTAAAACGATCAAGCCAACCATTGCTGCATTTAATTTCTGGGTGGTCTAATCTTTTTGCAAATTCCTCTGCTTTTGTTGTTAGCATTGGACCTGAGATAGGTAAGTTTTGATCTCTTACACTAGTAAACCATTTGAGTAGGGCGTGTTCAACATTTTCTTAAGTTGCAGTTCTCATACGTTTTCTTACTACTTTGTTGGTAAGCTTCTATAATTTTATTAGCATTTTTTATCCAAGTGGATAGTGTATTTGCAGGAACACCAAAACTGCGTGCAATTTCTGACTTGGGTTTTGATGCCCTTTCGACTTCTAGTATGGCTTGGTATTTATCTTCTATTGATTTGACATTGAGTTTTCTCTTAGCCGATCTAGCTATCCCCCCGGATGACCCGGTGCCTTCACTAGATTGTTCAGCTAACATCGCGTACTGTAAGAATGAACTATTGTGGCCATGCAACCCCTTTTATAGCAAAGTAAAAATATTTGCATAATTAATCTTTAAAGAATGTGAACAGTGTTCATAGATTAAAAAGACCGACTCATAATAATTAATAAACTATTTTAATCCTTTTAATTATTGTTCTTATTCTAACGGTTAATTTAATCTCAGCTTGTGTCATTTAAATTCGTTTCGTTTTTATACCAAGTGAAATATGTTCAGCACGTTCAAGTTCCGCTTGGACGATCAACAAAGGTGTTGATTAGCAGTCACCATAAACATGTCATTTTAACTGTTATACAAACAAGTATGTTTACACAGCTTTAATCACTTATGGAAATGATTAGGTTAAACAAGAAAAACATCCGTTATGAATTTTATTTTTAAAGTTTTTATTTCTTTCGATTTTTTTTTTACTTTTGCACTTCGAGACATCGGGGTCAATTTACATCAATTTTACATCGACGGGGCTTAAGAATTACCTCGACTTAACCGAGAATTCAAATCATCCGAGTTCGACTCATCAGAGGTTAAAATGCATTGATCAAACGGGAATTATGCCGGGACCGAGAAATTACTTCGACTCATCCGAGTTTTCGACACAACCGAGTTCGACACAACGAGGTTCGACTGTATGCTACTTCCGGTTTATAAAATGTCACTTCCGGTCTCAAATGATAGGTTAATATATGCCCATTCAAAAAATATATGGATTTCTAGTACTTTTCCATGAAAAAAGTGCAAAAATGGCTACTTCTGGTTTATTCAAGGTCACTTCCCGCTGTCATTTTTCAAGGTCATATGTCACCCAACCTTTTGTAAAAGGTCATATGGCTTTATAATGAACCATGTTGAAGTAATAATCAATTAACCTTATAATTGGACATTTCAGGGGCACTAACTCCTATTTGATGCCATTAGATTGTTTCAGACCAAATTTAACATATCTTCATTACAATTAAGCAAACATTTTGCACTTTTGTTCTTTTATAGATATATTTAAAAGTGTTGGAGAAAATGCAAAAACAAGGAAATATCAAAATTGAGAACTTGACCTTGACATTTGACCTTGACTTCATTTTCTAAGTTAGGACCTAGGGGTCTCAAATAAAAACATTCTAGGGTTATACAGTTAACGGTTTATGAGTTAAAAATACATACCGACAAATTTATTCGGTAAAGGTAGATAACTCCTATAAAATTTCATCAAAACCTTCGATCCAAATAACCAAAAATTCCTTAGCATGTAACGAACAATTTAGAAAAAGAATTTTGTCGATAACTTTATTTGTTACAAAGGAGATGCACACACTTGATAAACAGTGAATAGGGAGATAACTCTTACAAAGAAAATTGTTCGGCTAAGCAGGGTGAAATTTAAAAGCGCATACACTGTAAGATACAATGTAAGAAATATCTAAGCGACATATTGCGAAACAAATATTTATCGCAAGAACAAAATTTGGCGGAAAAAAAAAATAAAAAAAATAAAAACCAATTGTTCAGAGAACAATTGAAGGTCTTTCCACCCATAAAGTTCAATTTTGATATAGAACTATTAAAATTCAGTTTGATATATCATATTCAGCGTCAAATGATAGCTTATTGTACACTGATTCCAAAAATATATGGTTTCTATACATTATTTTCTAAATAAGGGAGATAAATTGTTACTTCCTGTTTGAAATATGTCACTTCCGGTTGTATTTGATAGTTTACTTGATACTGATTCCAAAAATATATGGTTCAATATACTTTAACATTAAATAAGTACAAAAAATAGCTACTTCCAGTTTACACCAGGTCACTTCCGGTTGGCTGTTCCATGGTTAAGTGGCTTGCAACGTAATGCAAAAAGTCCCATGGCTTTATCATGTATACATATGAGGTAAAAGCAAAGGTCAAAATCTAGAACGTCAATTTTACCTATGACCTTGAGCTCAATTTCAAGGTCATAAACCAAGGGCTTCAAATCAAAAGACTATAGGTCTTAATTATATATGGTTGATGAGTTATATCACAATATGTCTAATTTTTAATATAAGAGGGGAGAAAACTCCAATTCAATGTTAGCGTACCCTTTCAACCAAAATTTATGTGTTACGACATGTCGCAACTTACAATTTAGTAAAAATATGTTGTCGATATCTTATACGGTTCTTGAAGAGAATTGAACATAAGCCAAAACCAAAATTTAAAATATGACCTTGACCTCTGACCTTGACCTAATTTTCTTATTTTTGGATCAAGGACCTCAAATCAAAAGATCCTAGGTCTCTATCACTTATGGTTTACAAGATAGAAATGCATATCACTAATAACAAACGCATAAGGGGAAATAACTCTCATATGGAGTGTTCGTATCGCTTCGGTCAAAATAGGACAAATCATGCGAAGGATATAACGAGCAATTTTATAAAATAAATTTGTCGCTTTCTTTTATGGTTACAGAGGAGATGCAGTCACAAGGAAAACAGTGTTCAGGGAGATAACTCCTACAAAGAAAAGTCTTCAGTTATGCAGGGTGAATTTCAAAGGCGCATAAACTGTTCGATATCATATATCAAACATCTAAGCGACATCTTGCGTAACAAAATTTATACGCAAGAAATAAAAGTGGCGGAAGAAGAAAAAAAAAATAATAATCAGAACAAATACAATAGGTCTTTCCACCGAAAAGTGGAAAGACCTAATAATCAGAACAAATACAATAGGTCTTTCCACCGAAAGACCTAATAAGTTTGGTACGTTTTACATTATTTGAAAATGTAGTATTACTAATCTTTATTGGGAATGACTCACAGTAACACATTGGCAAGTAAAACTGAATATTTTTTGTAAAATGAAAACAAATAAACGAAAAAGAGAGAAATTCCAAGTAAAAAAGAAATGATAATCATCTTGTCAAAATCATTGCCTTCCCAAAGGAGACATAAAGTAATTAATGAAAAGAAGTGCAACAGATTTTCACAATGTCGATAGAAGAAATTTAATTATTGCTAATCTTACACTTTTTAACCTTCACCTGCATTTTTTGTTTCATATTTACACACACATCTAATATTGATTCTTCATATTGATATTGACATTTAATCGTTGTTGTCAAATGTCCTTGAAATGTTTTGTATTGAATTTTAAAATATTAGAAAGTAAAATAACAAAAATACCGAATTCTAATGAAAATTCAAAACAGAAAGTGCCTTTTCAAATAGCAAATCAAAAGCTCAAACACATCAAACGAATAGAAAAAAACAACTATCATATTCATGAACTGGTACAGGCATTTCATTATGTAGAAAATGGTGGATTAAGCCTGAAAGGATTGTAACCATAGATTTCCTAAGTCAGATCAGGCACACTATTTTGAACTTTCGTTTTTATTTTAAATGCTCTTCAACTTTTATTTGAATTGACCTCTCAACTGGTATAGTCATGGGATATTTTGTTTTATATCTCTTTTGACAACAGTGTAACGAGAGGACAAAAATTTAAAACAATTTGAGGAATTGATTAAAGTATTTTTATAAGACATCCAAGAAAATTTGTGGATGAGTCTATAGAGTTTTCTTCGGAAATAGTATTTTATATTAAGGTAGTTTGTCTCTCGTGCTGTGATGAGTCCGTAGCAAGTTTCCTCGTGCTTGGGGTTTATACTCTTTTGTAGACTTACACCACTTATTCTTGACCCCCTTTCTTATCCACGTTAAATTTTGCACTTCCCATCATTTGTTGGGGAGGGGGGATCAATATCCAGTAATTTACACACCAGACCGTACTGGTTACCGCAACTCTGGATACAATAAACCAGGTACCTCATATTTGAAAAACAGGTAATATATGCCCTCAATTTTAGAGTTCGTTGAATTTCATACATTTTTGTATTATTCAAAATTATCAGTCAATATTTGTTCTACAAGGATCATCAGTCCTTTATCTTTCATTTGAAACCTTAATTAATAAAATATATTTTATACAGATTGATGTTTACACCTATGCGTATACGTAGGAACTATTTTGTTTTAGATATGTACTTCTTTCCAGTATGTTGTTTTTGACTCGGCACGATTTGGTGGTGTTACAATTCGAATCATTTGTCAAAGAATTCCGCTCAAACCGGTGCTAGGGGCTGTTCCTCTGCTTTTTTGTGTTTTTTGCTGTGCTAGTACTGATTTTGTGTCACGGATGGATACCCCATATTCTTTTTTTTATTAATTCAAACTGTAATCATGATAATAAGCAAATTAATAATATATGAAAAATAGGTCAGCATAGTGATTTCTACTCTTAAAGAGTGTATATTTTTCATTTTATACGCAGCAAAAATAATTGACAAATCTGCATGTATATGTTCTTGACTTGGTGCATTTTAATTCAGTGAAGATGCTTAATTGACCTGCATACATATAGAAAAATAAATATGTTAAATTGAAAGATAAAAAATGGTAAACAAACACTCATGTTAATTGCCTTTATTTACGATATCTAAATATATTAAGATGTCAGATACTGCACCCTCAAGTGGATTTAACAATTTTCTTCACATTTCAATAAAAAGTTTGAGAGATATTGTAATGCTTCCTCATTTGATATTGCATCATTAGTTTAAGTGCATGATTATTCAATTTCACTATGTAGGCACTGGATATCG